ATTGCTATTTTTCTTTAAAAACCATGAATAAAAGAATCGTTTATTGAGAGCTCAATTTTGTTGAGTACTAAGGGATTACACATCCTGTCAACTGGACGAGCCAAACCAGGAACGTATCGAGGCCATGCCAGGCCACAGCTAGTTAGAAAAAGGGTTTTTTTTTGATTTTTTTTTTTTTTAAAAGTAGGGTTTTTTTTGTCTTAATAATATTTTTCTTAGTGAAATTCACACTAAAATATGCTTGACATAATAAATTAATTATACTTATATATATGACAATGTACACGAGGTGGTCGAAGCTCACTTATTATTTTAGCCAAGAATTGCTAAATTCGACGTTCATTATTAGTGGAGTGACTATAATAGTTTCTCAATTTCTTCTAACAACCAAATTTCAAAGCATCTCCATTAATATAAGTCATCTTTCTACATTTTCTGGACTTTTTTTTTGGGTACCCTTTTTATACCTAGATTTGTGCTAAGTTACGTGATAAGTATATTTTCTACACTTATGTGGGGGCTTGAAATTATAGAATTTTACTGTTCTTTTAGCAAATTATGACCTAAATTGCGTCACATTGCATCTTGTAGGTAAAACTCGATGTTTGATGAATAATTGGAGAAAAGAAGCAAAATGTAGCGAAAAATGACGAAATACAAAGTATGATGATTAAATTTCAAATACTTAATGGTTGATTCGGACCTTAAAAAGATANGAAAAGAAGCAAAATGTAGTGAAAATGGGCGAAATTCAAAGTTTGAGGATTAAATTGCAAATACTTAATGGTTGATTCGGATCTCAAGAAGATGCTTTGAAACCTGTTAGAAGACAATTGGATGGAATTAGAACTCAAAAATAAATGGAATATGATCAAAATATTATCAAAGTCAATTTTCTATAACACAAGATATATTCCAGATTTTTAGCCGAAAATTGAGACCCCTTTTTTGCATAGTACATGTCCGAATTGGAAAAACTCTATTTATAGAAGAGTTGTACCCATTTAAGTTATCTTTTCAACGCACTTTGAATCGTCTCAATTGGATATCAGGAGAGAAAGTTATGACAAAAATACGGACTGCTGTGCAGAGACAAAAAATCCGCGCGCGAAAGCAATTTTCCTTATTCGATTAGAACTCTTTTGGAAACAAATATGGACGTGATTTTCAACCAATTTTCAATTCCTACAAATAGAGAACAGAAGAATACATATGGAGAACCGCCCTAAACCTAAAAATCTCTATATTATACATATTTCGGAGGCGAAGAACATGACTAACAACGTGGAATCAAGGCCAATTCCATAGGATATTGAAGATTCTTCATCTGGACTTAAGATTCACATCAAGAGCGTGGATATTTCGAACTTCTTCCATCTTTCTTATTTTCGGGTGAC